AGTAGTAGTAGTAGTAGTAGTAGTAGTAGTAGTAGTAGTAGTAGTAGTAGTAGTAGTAGTATTAGTAGTAGTAGTAGTAGTAGTAGTAGTAGTAGTAGTAGTAGTAGTAGTAGTAGTAGTAGTAGTAGTAGTAGTAGTAGTAGTAGTAGTAGTAGTAGCAGTAGTAGTAGTAGTAGTAGTAGTAGTAGTAGTAGTAGTAGTAGTAGTAGTAGTAGTAGTAGTAGTAGTAGTAGTAGTAGTAGTAGTAGTAGTAGTAGTAGTAGTAGTAGAATAGTAGTAGTAGTAGTAGTAGTAGTAGTAGTAGTAGTAGAAGTAGTAGTAGTAGTAGTAGTAGTAGTAGTAGTAGTAGTAGTAGTAGTAGTAGTAGTAGTAGTAGTAGTAGTAGTAGTAATAGGAATAGTAGGAGTAGTAGTAGTAGTAGTAGTAGTAGTAGTAGTAGTAGTAGTAGTAGTAGTAGTTGTTGTTGTTGTTGTTAAAGTAGCAGTAGTTAAAGTAGCAGCAGGAGTAGTAGTGGTAGTAAACCTGGTAGTAATAGTAATAGTAGTAGGGGTATAGCACCAGTAGCAGCAGTAGTAGGAACCGTCGTCGTCGCACTCGCAGCAGCAGCAAGCAGCAGTAGCACCAGTGCGGTCGTCTTCGTTGTCGTAGCAGCTCTCAGACGCAAAACTTGATATACCACGCTAACTACAGGAGCCGAGCCCGAACTCAACAGGGAATACAGCCTAACCAGCCCCAAACAATCGAAATCAAACCCGATCAGGGGCATTGCCTAGCCTTGGAGATCTGACCGCGGGAGCGCTCCAGCTTCTGTATCTGGGGAAAAGTGTAAGCTCTACCAGTCTTCGTGAGCATGCAAATCATGAAAGTGCCGGGCTAGAGACAGCGCGATTAAGTGGTAGAATGCGCTACGTCTTAGGCTCTCCACATCCGCCACTGAGAAGGTTTCGCAGGCAGGGTCTACGCATCTTGGAAAACCGGATTACGAGCTGAATCCAATCCTTCGTGGTGTCGGTCGGCCTGAGAAGTGAGTCCCTCAACACTGAACCCTGGACACTATACCTCTTTCATGCCAGACCTACAGGCTTGCGGAAGTCAGGCTTCCCTGGCCAGTTGGGGGGCTCTGTTATGATCAAGAAACGCTTTGCTTTTTGAAACGGCAATGATTTCCCAATCTTTACGATCCCGTTTGATGCTTCTGTGCTGTTTGGCTGTGAGCTAAGGAAGTTGGGATAGATACATACAGAAAGCGCATGCTAGAGTAGAGTAGAAACAATATCTACGTTGTTGCATTACCCCCGGCAGGGTTAAGGACGGTCTGTTTCTCGAAGCTCCACACCTAGCCCACAAGATCTCCATTACCTTTGACACGAAGTGCCCGAATGACCCTCACATGTGCGACGTGTGGGAATTCAGGGCTTCTGGCTAAGTGCTTGTGCGTTAATGGTCTCTGCTTGAAACAATCTTGACATCACTGAGGCGCTGGCCCGAGTGCTGACGCCTGACAGGCACGTGTGGTGAATTGTCCGCAAGAGCCTAGGAAACCGGATAAGGCACCGATTTCATTGCATCACTCGCACCTGGAACACCAACACCGAAAATCTGATTTCAGCACGTGAAAAGCTTCAGGGTTTAGGGTTAATCCAGACCCTGATCCCTGCATGTTTAAGACAACTCGTGTCGCACAACCTTCGCCCAGCCTTGGACCCACTGCTGCAACTGCGGCGCCTGTTCCCAAGGCGAGGGCAAGATGGGAGTTAGGTGTTTAAGGGTCCTGTTGGGAACCAAAGTCAGAGGAAAAGAAAAGCTGGGCCGAGGGTTCAGGCTGCTAGACATTTGCATGTCGGGCTTGGGGGACCGTTCAGAAATTTGACCTGCTCTTTGTAGATGGTGGTTTTGCAGCCCTCAAACCCTGAAGCACTACAACGCTCCATGAACTGGAGCGAGAGGAATGCCAAACTGGAACAAGCCTGCAACCCGGCTCAGGATGTCTGGTTTGCGGGCGAAGGTAGCCACAAAGGGTTGGTCTGTGCGTATGGCCCAGCTAAAGCCAAGCAATCATACCAAGTACGGCGTAGGGGTGTTCAACGTAAAGCTGGGTGCGAGTGGCATCTTCTAGCTGTGCTAAATTCGGATCAGAATGTGTTCACGAATCACCTCGCTTACTTACTCAGGTTCCTTGGTTCAGTATGCGGAAAAAGCTTACTGATATAACCCCGCACACTGCACCCAAAGCAACTCCAACAACCTTAAGCAAGATTGAAGTCTCTGTAACAGCCTTCATCGCTGTAGCTAGCCCACAGCCCGAAGCATGTCTTGACAGCACCGGCAATGCATGACGACGTTTTTCGCAAGATTCGAAAGCGATCGGCATTCAGGCGTCGCAGTTCGTTTGCCTCCTGGATCGATGATGCATGCTTGGGATTAGGCTCCGGAATTGGATTCCCTCCGTGCGTGGATGCTGCACGAGGGTGACATTCAAAACATCAAATGAAAGGTGCCCTCATGTCGGGTGCAGGGCGTGGGTTGCAGACCCAAGTCCTGAACCAAGGCCTTACCCTGCAACCCTCGATAAACGCAGATTTCGCATGCGGCCGAAACGCGACGATGATGCTGTCTGCAGATAGGTCCACCTCTGGCATCGTCCAAGGCTTCAGGCAGAAAGATGCGGAACTGAGCACTGTTCAGATGGGTGATAGGGTGGTTCCCAGCTTTCAGTATGGGCTTGACTTGGTCATCTGAGACAGCAAAGCGTTTGCCGTAGCTTAACCAGATAGAGCCAATCAGATTCTTACGAGGTCGAACCGTGGCAAGCAATTCCAACTCCTGAAACCAGCACTGTACCCCGGAGCTAGCTGTGCGCCTTTCGAATGAGGTGCACGACGGGAAAGGGAGTGCGATGCATGTCGTTATCTGGCAGCGGCACGAAGTCCTTGCAGCGTCGGAGCTCGGGTAGCTGCGGATATCTTGGGCCGACGCAAGCAGAGCAGGCCAAAGCAGGTGCTTGGGGCCCTGCTTAGAGGATGCTCTTGGTGAGACATCTACGACGCCTGTACGGCGACTGCTAACACCTGACTGGAGAAAAAGACAACCCTCCCGAATCCCAAAAACGGCAGGCCCTAGGCTCACTGAGCTATGCTCAGCCAAAGCACGCCGACGATACATTGTGGTTTCAGTGAACAAACCGAACCCCGCAACCTGTTTACGTCTGGAGCCCTGAACCCCAAAACGGTTTAGTTTAGTGTTTAGTGTCTCACGACGCAAAAAGCTGCAAGGATCAGCAGTGCATTCAAACGTGACGCTGGGTCGTGGAAAGGGCTCACCTGGAGCTTCGAGTACACCCCGACTCACAAAGCTTCGAAACATGTGGAGGGAGAATGCCCTCCTCCTCAGGAACGATGTCTTCCAGGTCCCATGCGCATATCCCACTGCCACCTCAAAAGCTGGCGTTGCTGGCTACATGCATGTTTCAGTTCTTGCTGCTTAGACTGATTTTTGCTGTTCGGACAGGTATGGTTACGATGATCGCTTCAGATTCGTGCTGGTTCTTCTGTCCTGGGGTGTCTTTGCATGCAAGCATTGGTGGGTGGGTGGGAGCGGGTGAGTGGGACATGCGTCTTTTACGTGTCTACGGTATATGTATATTGTTGCTTCTGAAGAAACACTGATACTGCACATGCGTTGTTGCAATTTGCGAGTATATACTGACTCTGTAGAAGTTATTACTCCTTTTTCAATACGGGTGCTCACTGATGCATCACATTGCTACCCATCCTTGACTAGTTAGTAGTCGTAGAATTAAAGAAAGTTCGAACGATATTAACTACCAGTGTTAATGTGTTATGCGTTGTTCTTGTTCGCCAACGTTGACACTTTTCGTGCAACTTAACGCAACTTGGTAAGACTCATGGCTTCATGGTTTTCCAGACAACACGATCCAAACTTTTCCAAGCAGGGACCAGTCTTGTTTATCCGCAATAAAACAGTTATATTGTTGTTGTTGTTGTTGTTGTTGGTGGTGGTGGGGGTGCTGCTGCTTCTGTTGCTGTTGCTGTTGTTGTGGCTGTTGATGCTATTGTTGATGTTGTTGTTGGTGGTATTGTTGTTCTTGCTGCTGTTTTTCTTCTTGGTGGCGATGGTGTTGCTGTTGCTCTTGTTGTTGTTGGTGGTGGCTGAGGTGGGGAGCGGCTGCGGTGATGGCATGCGAGATTGGTCATATAGGTGCGAAGTCAACCTGCTCTTGTCCTTGTTCGTTTGTTACGATTACTGCCGTCACCTTGCTAGTGTTATCGTGCTTGCACCTGCTCTTCCGTGGCACTTAGTTTGAACCTTGCCGTGTGCGGTTGCAGCGCGGCAACATCCGTCGAAGCAACGACAATCTCACGACACCCTCATGACTCTGAACTTAATTTGGCCAGACGGCCTTCATACGACCCCCAACAAGACTCAACAGTACACCGGCACACCAGCCCAAAGCGTCATCCTATCAGCCCGAGGAGTCCCAAGCAGGATTGCAATGCCATGGGGCCATGCAGTCGCGCGCACACTTGCCGGGGCCCTACCTGGCGACGACTCAAACCCAATTTTGGCCTAGGACCGCGAAACATGAAGCCTGAAGAAGGAACTGCAAACATCTCCATCAGGCAGCAACGAGCACATCTTCGACACAGCCTGCTATTATACTTCTGAATTTCATCCACGTGAACACATGACCCATCACCGCAACAGTTATCTGGTTCCGCTTGTGATGAAATTTGCCTTATTGTGCTGATACACAGTGCACCACTCTTGCAGTCGAAACCCTTGACCCCCAACTCCAAAAGCCTTAACCCATGAACCCGGAGTCCGGAGCCCAAATCCCTGGACCCATGATTTCGATCCAGTTTCAGGTTCACACTCTGAAATCCGCAAAAACCCCGAACCTCTTGACCCTGGACCCTTGACCTGGGCCACGGACACTGAACTAAACCCGCAAACACTTACGTGCCCCAGCCTCCACTTCCTTAGGACCAGGTCGGAATATGGTGGCAGGCTCGCCTTCAATGTCGCAGATGAGGCTTTGAGGACATAGGGTTTCTGGCAACCTACATAAGCCCAAAAGGTCCTAAGCACGGTCAAAGGAGATACTCACACAAAGAAGAGAATCCCAAGCTGGCAAGGGCTTTGGCGTATCAGGGCTCCCGAGCTCAAGACAGGAAGACTTGCCACTTCTGGGCTGCTGCCTTTTGCAGATCTATTTACATCTATTGTGAGGAAGAACTACAAGGAAAGGAGCCATAGATAGCGACCACGGCAGCAGGAACAATGCCAATGTCATTCCCATACGAAGTTAACGGCCTAAGCCCAGGGGGTTCATTCGAAGTTACAAGTCAAGCGCTCTCTTTTGGGAGGGAAGGCCCCGTGCCTCGGATTCAATGGGCCATCGCGATTGATTGGGTGTATGGCATGTCAGACGTGGGTGACTATGGCTATTGCATCGATGACCAACGAGAACAGTACCACTGCGCAACATTTGAACTAAAAGGCTCAACCCCAAAGCTTGAAGCCATTCGACTGCCCTTTTTATTCGTCTGGGGGTGATCTGAGGCCCTGGGTGCGAACAAGCAGTGGGCCTTGAGTTCTCAACTGTAGGGTTTTGGTCGGGTGTAGAATGCGGGTATAGGTCTGGGGTGGTCTGGGGTTGCGCGTGCCAGGAGAGGCTTGCATGGCTCAGGGCCAGTGAACTTACTCTGTAGGGTTTTGCAACTACGACTCTTACTGGTGCTTCAAGGCTCTAGCTGACTCTGACTATCTATCTTCGTGCTGTGTGCATATCCAAAACAGTCCGTACATGTGTGAGCATTGTCGACTAGACAAGTCTGCTTGCTGCGGCTCATGACTAATTCTGATTCTGGCCTCTCTGAAAGACTTGTTATAGCATCGCTCTGGCGGTGCGCCTGCGAAGTAGGGGTCCACGTGCACGCGCTTCTGCATGAGGTCGAGGAAAACTTGGCCTTTTGCAGTATCGGGCAGATACCGGAATTAGCTGTCCAAGCTGTTCTTGTCGGTGGCAGCGGGGGTACTTGTTAAATAAATGAAGAAGGCTGTCTACGCTGATGGATGCAGTCCGCCAGTTGAGACTGTTGTGATTTACTCCTCACCTTGCCTTAAGGTCTTGGCCTCCAGGTTTGCATGTGGCTTCCGGTTCTTCGCTTGCTTTGGAGTTCATGGTAATAGTAATAGTATATATACTAATTATAGTATTACTAATACTAATTATAGTATTACTAATAATATACTAATTATAGTATTACTAATATACTAATTATAGTATTTATTACTAATATACTAATTATAGTATAATTACTAATATACTAATTATAGTATTACGAATAGTAATTAACAATAATATACTTGATTGTATTTCTGAAGATCTCGGTGCAACGGACCTTGGGAGCGAAACCGAAAGAAGAGGATCAACTGCAAGAACACTAGTGTACCAGGACCCTCCATGTACCCTTAAATAGGGTTTGGGGTTTAGGGTTTAGGGTATATGGCCCCGAATAATGGGCATTTAGGGTCTAATAGAGGGTAGATGGAGGGTCTAGGTACTCAATTGCTTTCTTTGCTCCGGAAATGAACAAACACAAAGGATATGACCAACATTCGTAGCAATGGCAAAAGAGATGGGCTTTGCCGCAAACGCAAACCTATCCATAATGTCGCACAACATGTATATGTAACTTCTCTGTGTCTCTGTGTGTGTGTGGGGGTGTGGCGCGGCGACTCTGTCGTAACAATGGCAAGACCCTGCACGGCAGTTAAAGTTAAAGGGCCTGACTCATTTACGGTGGGGCAGTGCCGGTTGACTTGCAGTCTTAGGCGCTGCCGTTGCAGTACCCCGCTGGGGGCTCCAGCCAACGCGAGAAGCCAGGATGGAAAGTGACGAGCCGAACCCTGGGCAGGGTCTTGGGGTGTTTGGCCTGCAAGTAGAGCATTGCCAGGTCGGTTGTTTGGCAAAGAAGCGGTACAGGTGCTGGTCCAAGTGGTCTTGTTGATCCATATGCGCGTGTGCCACGTTCATGTCCCAGTGTTGTCTGTGCTGTGTTCGCAACTTGTACGGTGAATATCGCGCCCTCTGACACAGACATTGGTTGGGGCGGCCTTTTCAGTTATCCTCGGCGGAGGTCACAGCTTGGACCTGCACCACACTAGACTATTATACGTTATACAAATTATACAGGGAAAGCTGAACAGCACCAGGTTCAAAGAAATTCTATGCGAGCTCCCGTATACTCCGTTGTGAGTCCGCCAGGTACATATTCGCATCAGAAACTGTTCTGGTCCCTGCATGGAAGCGCTGGTTCCCTGCAAGCATTCAAAGAACCAAACCGGGTCACTATATCCCTGCAACATAGGCGCCTGAATAGAGAGAATGGGTACTTTACTCGATAATGATGATCTGGAAAGCTGAGGAGTACTATTGCCGACTACTCTCATTGACCCTTTGCACCGAACCAGAACCACAGGGTTTAGATCCACAGGGCTTGTTCGACAGAGTTGGCTTTTAAAAACTTTTACAGACTTTTAAAAACTTTAAAATGCAAGAAAAAACCTTCTAAAAACTTTTCAAAACTTTAAAAGACTTTTAGAAACTTTAGAAGACTTTTGCAAACTTTAAAAGACTTTTCAAAACTTTAAAAGGCTTTTAAAATATGTAAAAGACTTTTAAAAACTTTAAAAGACATTTAAAAGACTTTAAAAGACTTTAAAAGACTTTTAAAAGACTTTTAAAAGCTTTTAAAAGCTTTTACAAACTTTAAAAGACTTTGAAAGACTTTTAAAGACTTTAAACAACTTTTAAAAGTGTTTAAAAACTTTAAAACACAAAAAAAAGTATTTTTTCTACATTTTTAAGGTTTTTTCCGAGAAGACGAGGATGAAGAAGACCTGGCACAGGGTTTACAGTTTCAGGGTCTTTAGGGTTTGGGGTTAGAAGGCAGAGTGCCATAGTATTAGGGGTTTGAGGGTAATGAGAGGGTTAGGGTTAGAGTTTCAGGGTTTTAGGGTTTAGGGTTACAAGGCAGAGTGCCATGGTATAGGGTTTAAGGGTAATGGCTGAAAGGCAAAGTGCTAAGGTCTTCAATATGAATGGGATTCAGTTTTGGTAGTTATCTTGGAATGATCGTGGCTTGGCTTCGGGCTTTTGGTCGTGCCCACCCCGCTAAACAGCTCCAGGTACTCCCACACCCTCCTACTGTACCACTACTGTACTACTACTGTACAACTACTTTAATACTAGTGTACTACCACTTTACTACTACCCTCTTACGAGTATACTTCTGTACTACTATGGCACCGCTACAGTACTACGACGGTACTACTATTGTACTACTGTACTACTACTGCATTACTACCGTGCTAGTACTTGTACTACTACTGCACGACACACCACTGCACCGCACCAGGCCTCAGACGTGGTCGAGTGGAGGGGAGTGTAGGTTGGAGGCAAAAGTCTTCAGAGTGAAAGGTTTGCAGTTTTGGTAGTTCTCGTGGAGTGACCGTGGGTTGGCTTCGACTGTTGGTCGTCCCCAAACCTCTCTAGACAGATCCAAGTACCCCTAAACCCTCGTACTGCACTGTAACTACTACTGTACGACTGTCGTACTACAGTACTACTATTGTACTACTCTACCCTGTTGTACTACTACTGTACTACTACTGTACCGTACCGGGCCTCAGACGTGGTCGATTGTGGAGGGGAGTGTAGGTTGGAGGCAAAAGTCTACAAAATGAAAGGTTTTTAGTGTTGGTAGTATCTTGGAGTGATCGGGGCTTTTGGTTTCCGGCCTTTGGTGATCCCCCAAAACCGTTAAACAGCTCCAAGTACACTTAAAAACCTCGTACCGTACTACTACTGTACTACTACTGCATTACTACTGTACTATTACATGCATTACTACTGGACTATTACGTTTATTCACCTGCGCATCATCGAGCTTCTTCTTGTATCTCTGCTACCTGTAATGTGGCGGCCGTGTAATAGCCACCCCCCCTCGACCAAAGGTTTTTGGCTTGAATAGTCTGGTGTCCGTGACCCCCTGGACCGGGGTTCGGCTGGCTGAGGGTCTGAATGGCTTTGGTTAAGTTAGAAGGGAAATGGGGGGTCGCAGGGTCGGTTTGAAACCTGCGCGAACGCCGCGGTCGGGGGGTTTGGGGATCACCAAAAACTTGAAACCAAGCCGCGATCACTCCAAGATAACTACCAACACTAAAAACCTTTCATGTTAAAGACTTTTGCCTCCAACCTAAACACCCCCACGATCGACCAAGTTTGAGGCCTGGTACGGTACAGTGGCGTGTAGTACAAAGTACAGTAGTACAGTAGCACAGTAGTACATTGGTGCAATAGTAGTACAGTAGTAGCACAGTACAAGCACAGTAGTGTGTTCATCGACTCAAGCAGGGAGCGCCGCTGTAAAATTTGCTTTGTGTGGGTGCTTTGTCTTTGCTCTTTATATGTTTTGCTGTTTGCTGTCGTATCTGGTATCTATATGTGCTTATAGGGTCATGGCTTTGAGTTTGGCGCGGGGGCGAGGCTGGCCTGGGAGGTGGGCTGATAAGGCGCAAGGGCGAGGGCTGGGGACCGGGCTCGGGACTTCATAATTTTTCAAAAGACTAATTAATATTTAATGAGATTTAGCTAGATGTAGTAAGATTTTATTTGTTTTGTGTTCCTTTCTAACACTGATTAGATTTAATATAATCTCCCTGCAAAGAGACTCTCTATCTATCTATCCAAGAAAAGACGCTTCCACGGGGGGGGTCACTCGGGGGGGTCTCCCCCCCGCCCCCCCTGGGGGCCAAAACTACAAAGTTTGGATCAACAGGGCTTAGCAATAAGATTCAATAAGATTTTTCCGGGGCGTGCCACAATTGTACAAATGTCTTCTAAGATTCAATAAGATTCAATAAGATTTTTTGGGGCGGTCTGGAGTCGGTGTCCCTTTTAAACATGATGGACCAATAAGATTCAATAAGATTTAATAAGATTCAATAAGATTCAATAAGATTCAATAAGATTTAATAAGATTTAATAAGATTCAATAAGATTCAATAAGATTTTTCCGGGGCGTGCCACAATTGTACAAATGTCTTCTAAGATTCAATAAGATTCAATAAGATTTTTTGGGGCGGTCTGGAGTCGTGTCCCTTTTAAAATGATGAACCAATAAGATTCAATAAGATTCAATAAGATTCAATAAGATTTAATAAGATTCAATAAGATTCAATAAGATTCAATAAGATTTTTCCGGGGCGTGCCACAAGTGCCACAAATGTCTTCTAAGATTTTGCCGGGCCGATCTTCCAGAAAAGGCTTCATGATAAAATGCTGCTGGGGCTGGGGCTGGGGCTGCTCGGCTGGGGCTGCTGGGGCTGGGGCTGCGGGGGCTGCTGGGGCTGGGGCTGCGGGGGCTGCTGGGGCTGGGGCTGTTGGGGCTGGGGCGGTTGGGTGGGGGGGGTGAAGGGAGAAAAGGGTGTAGTCAAGGAGAGAGGCTGGGTGGGGTGGGTGAAGGGAGAAAAGGGTGTAGTCAAGGAGAGAGGGCCCGCCCCACCCGCCAGTCCCCCAGCCCATGCCTGCCTGCTTCCGCACGCCCAGCCTTCCCTGCGAGCCGCGACCGAGCAGAAAGCCTGTAAATACCGCGTTAAAACAACCGCCAGGGATCCCACACATCTGCGGGCAAAATCTGGCGGAAGTGATCCGAGGGCCAGGGATTTCACACATCTGTTGGCAAAATCTGGCTCCAGATTTTGCCAACAGATGTGTGAAATCCCTGGCCCTCTGTTTAATGCGGTATTTACAGGCTTTTTGCTCGGTGGCGGATCAGTTCCGCCAGATTTTGCCCGCAGATGTGTGGGATCCCTGGCCGTTGTTTTAACGCGGTATTTACAGGCTTTCCGCTCGGTTGCGGCTCACTTCCGCCAGATTTTGCTAACAGATGCGGTGGTGGGCTGGGGTTGGGGCCTGGGGCCCGCAAGGGGTGTCCCATTAGGTTTTACAGTAGCAGTGCAATAGTAGTACAGAAGTACAGTAGTAAGAGGGTAGTAGTAAAGTGGTAGTACAGTAGGGGTACATTACGAGGGTGTGGGAGTACCTGGAGTTGTTTAGCGGGGTGTGGGCACGACCAAAATCCAAACCACGATCACTCCAAGATAGCACCACTAAAAGCCTTTCATGTTGAAAACTTTTTTCGTCCGGCCTACACTCCTGTACAGCAGTGCATTAGTATTGTAATAGTACAGTAGTAGGACAGTCGTAGAAGAGAAGTACAAAAAAATCAGTCGGCCCAACAAAGAACGCACTAATCATTAAGGCCACATTTTTTGATACAGGCCCGAATAAGCACAGGAAACACGCATCAACTAGTCAGAAGGACCCTCACATTAACCTGTATTAATGGGGTGATGCTATTAGTCAATTCAAGTATTCACATGCGCTTGGCATGTTGCTACTTGTTTGTGTTTGCTTGGTGACTGTTTTGTGCAAGTCTGTTGTTGTGTGTCTTGGCCCAAAACTTCTTTACACAAAACGAATCACAACGTCGCCTCCTGCTTGGAAGCAAAACAAGATATAGAAAACCTGGCTCAGTCTGGTCACGGATTTAGGAAAAGCAATCCACACTGGGGTGATTGAGCCGGGGACTGGCCATCCCCCCAGCCCCAACACCAGCACAGCCCAATTCCAAGACGCCAAATCGTGGCCCCAGCCAGCCCAGCCCCCCAGCCGACCCCACCCCCCCGCACCCGACCCACCCCCTACTTTCGAGGGACACGCCTTGCGATTTGATGATTTTGCTATGGGGACAGGCACCGGACACCCCTTGCGAGCTGCGAGTTTTTAGACAGCCGTAGGGGGATCCCTTGCGGTTCATGATTTGGGAACTTATTTTTAATACAAATCTGCGTGATTTGGGGATCTGCGTTTCGTCACTACTAATTACGGTACTACTATTGTACTACTGCATTACCACTGTGCTATTACTTGTACTACTACTGTACGACACACCACTGCACCGCTCGAATCCATGTGGGGAAGGCATTTCAAAGGACACCTTAAACCCTTAGAATCAATCACAACCCCCAACTTAAATTGATAAACAATTTTAAAAACAAACAAAATAAATTTGTAGACGTAGAACAGCAGGAAGCCAGGTTGAACAGCAGGATGCCGTTCATCATTTGACGCAATCACAACCAAAAATGGTTAAATTGATGAAATAATAATTTCAAAAACAAATAAACAACAAATTTGTAGACGTACAACAGCAGGAAACCAGGTAGAACAACAGGAAGCCACTTGACTCAATCACAACCAAATACTTATAATTCACAAAAATATAAACCTTAAAACCAAATAAAGACATTAAAAGACAAATAAAAACGTTAAAAGACTTTTAAAAACTTTTGAATACGTAAAAAAACTTTAAAATACAAATAAAATCGTTAAACGACTTTTAAAAACTTTTAAACACAGATAAAGCCAACCACATACAAAAATAAGATTTTGGGTTCCTTTCATATAAGCCTTGTTGATCTAAACCCTGTGGTTCTGGTTCGGCGCAAAGGGTTAAGGATACTCGGACCCTTACATAAAAGAAACCGAAACAAATCCCAGGTAGGTTCCGGACTTTTCGTGGCAGCGCTTCAGAAGCTCTTCCGTCCTGAGATGGCTTGCTTCGAAGGGGGGTCGAGTTCTGGTGTCTGCAGCTTGTCTTCCGGGTATATGCAGTTATGTAGTTCTGATTTAATTTGACGATTAGTGGCCTGATCTGTAAAACAGAGTGGGAGCAGCAACATGAAGCCCCAGACCCTAGGAGTTTAGGATAGTTTAGGGATATCATCAGCTAGACAAGCGCTGCGGTTCTGTGGCAGAAGGGTGGACACCGCGGGCTACCACGGAAGATGTCAAGAACGAACTCACAAGCTGAAGCGCAAAGACGCTGTGAGGCGAGTACAAGTAAGCTCGATTTCCCGATTTTCCAAGACTAAGGACCATGAGCTCCGTCACTCCAGAAGGAGCCCGAATAAGCCCTCAACCCTCCATATGCCCATACCCCAGACCTGCAATCCACCCTTCACCATTGTGGCCAACATGTGACATCAGGAAGGTCCAAAATCACAAAAACTCTAATTGCTTCAACTCTATGAAAAAATTTCGAGCTCGTTAACCAAAGCGTCGTTTCTGAAAGCGCCTCGGCCCTTGGCAGCAAAACGCCCGAGCGGGTGCCCTTCGGAGCCGCGAGACCGCGATCCCAGGCCTGCATGGCGCTCGGGGGTTTCAGGGCGTAGTGTCGGCGTGGACACCTTGATAAAAAGAACCCTGAGCTTTAGAAGCATTCTTTCCGCTACAGAACCTGGACTTGAGACCTAAAGACTATTCTCCCCACGATGCGCAGCTTAGAAGATTTGGGTCTTTGGACTTACGCTCTTATCGCGGTGACGGCTTTCGAGCACGTGCTTGTCATTTCCAATGCAAGATACGTCACTCTTCTGGGAAGGATACCGTACCCTCTACACTCAGACCAACTCGGCCGATTCAGCCGGCAACTCTCAGTCCCAAATAGCCCGCCCGTCTATTTCTATGATCCCCGAGTTCTCCGTCTGTCGTCCAGCCCAGGACGGAACTTGAAACTCCCCAAGTTTAGTTCCATTGTTGTGATGATGCTAGCTAGACATTTATAATCATTTATATGCCAGTATTGACCATCATGATCATGCCCCTCAGCTGCCTTGACGTACGCGTCGAAAACGAAGAACTCTTGAAAAGCTTCCTCGCACGGCCGGGCAGCTTCGTACTTTTGAATGCCGTACACTCTAAGCCTTCAGCCCATTCAGCAATTTCCAGGGCTGAGGATCTCTTAGTCTTGCTGTCGCGGTCTTTGTCGTAGGAACCAGGAGGAAGGAAAGCCCGTGTGCCCCGCCCCTCCTTTTAGATACGCGATCAGCAAGAGACCCTAAGACTTGCCCTTCAAACCCCGACACACCCTTCAACCCAAAACTCAAAACCCTCACGCCTCAAGCATCCTGAGACTCCTTGACCCCGCACGGCAGCTGAGTCTCCACATGGCGCAAGATGACCAGCGACGAGGCAAGCTTCTGCGGTGCCAGATCGAGCTGCAGGGCCTTCTTTCAAGGATTTTCGGGAAGGGGTTCTTAGATTCAGGGTACCTTATCTTTTACTGTCTGACAATAGGGTGATCCTACTTGCTGTTGGGAGTCGACATTCAGGTCCAGAAGTCTATGAAGATACAGGCTTAGGTCGGAGGTGAAAACCTGTGGTCTAGGGTTTACTGTTGAGGTGTCCCGGCTTGTTGTCTGGACCGATGGTAGAGATAAACGTCCCTGTGCCGGGTCTGGAGACTGAAGGTCGGGACGAAGATTTCAACTGTCCACTGCGCTGTTTTTATAGAGTGCAAAAGGAGTTGCGAAATGGCGCATCTGTGGACGTCTGCGGAGCCTGCGGCTTTGGTCTTGGGGTTGAAGGTTAGTATTCAGGGATGTTATGGATGCAGTCAAGTCCCCATTGGATGGCCCCTATTCAACGACATGTTGGTACCAGCGAATCTACCCTGAACTCAAAAGACTCGAAGTCTGAAACCTGAAATCCCCCAACTCAAAACGACAGAGCCTGCTCAACGAGGCTGCCTGCGGCCTCCTGGCAATATCGCAAGGCTTCGCAGGTCGCGCTCTTGTCGGCTAGGGGGGTGCAGTAGAACGTAGTCTGGGATTGATTCTACAATCCATGCATGATACCACTACATTTTAATGATGCAGTAGTGAGCAGTGAGGGTGCTGTGTTCGCACTTGTGTTGCGTAGCATTCTTCCGGATGGAAACTTCGACCGCCATCAAAGCTGCTCTAGGGAAACCGACGGCCGAGGTGTCTGGCTCGAGTTCCAAGATTATGAGAAAGAAAGCGAGTTCGGGACTGTCCTGAAGCGGTGCCATTGAGCACCTTGAAGAAGACTCTGGTTGCAACAACTAGCATGAATCAAACTTGCACTGCCTCTCTGCCTCTAGGTTCCAAGGAGGAAGTCAAAGCCGCAAATCTGTAAAGCTCCAAATGACTCCTAACCTTATTAATACTTAAACCATGACGTGCTCACAGCCATAAGCCGCAAAAGCCGGCTCCTCACCATCCGATCAGGTGCCCTTCCAGAATGCAAGGCATTCACTCTGAGGGGCTTGCGTAGTAGCCTTATATAGCTGGCAGCGAATGTAGGCCACCATAATCACTGATTGACACAACGTGCTGTTAAGGTCCTCGGGGCTCGTGGCGGCACTCTCCACGAAGCGAAGCTCCCCGGCGGCCATGGATTTCGTGGCCCATGGACAGAACCTTGTGGCTTTAGTGTCTGTAGTTTCCTCAGAACTCAGCCGAAAATACCCAAAGCCAAACAGGCAGGTACACGTCGTTTCTGTGTCTGTCAAGAAGATTCCAGATTTTACTCTGTCTGTCGATGACGGAGTCAACTCTGCAGGTGTTAGGGTTCGAACGCTGCCGAAAGCTATCTGCAAGCTTTCTGGAAAGTAGCGGCTGCTATTTCAGGATTTTTGCAGTAAGTATACCGGTTCTTCTCCGAAAGGCTTTGAAACTCCCATGGTCTACTTGAAGCCTGAAACCTGGCACAAAACGAATCAAGTCCAGAATCTACAGCCATCAACCTAGCAGCCAATTGAATGGGCCTCCTTTGTGTTGGCATTCGGATTTACGGAACGTCTTCGCCTGAAATCTTGTCTGGCTTCCCGAAACATGCAAGGCAACTCAAACACCAAACATTAGCGGAGTTTGTTGGCTAGCGCCAATAATGTCTGAATGTAGCGGGTCGGCCGTGTTGGAGCGGAACCCGAGACTCAGGAAGGAACTTCACCCTCGGATACCTTGCTTTCTCCCCAAACACCTTCGACATAGAGCTTACCGCGATGGACCCACCCCTTCATCCTTCCAAACCTCTGACCCTAAAATGAAATCAGGTGTGGAGCCGACCGTCCAAGATGAAACTTTGCACCCATCCTGCACCAAAGGCTTTGAATTGGAGTATTTGATGTCTGCTGCTTTGGTGTACTAGTCGACAAGGCTCTAGAGTTCGACGAGGGTCGGGTTCAGGATATCAGGGTTGCACCAAGTCGAACCAGGTGCGCGAAACCTACGCTGACTCTGGTATAGACGACGGTTGGATTAATTAGTGTATTGAACTCAAGTCTTAGCCTCGTCTGTTGTTCAGCACTTACTGCGACAACTAAAACAGACGCAGACTGCTACTGCTACTGCTACTGCTAGTGCTGGTGCTAGTGCTGGTGCTAGTGCTAGTGCTACTGCTGCTGCTGCTACTGCTGCTACTGCTGCTGCTGCTGCTACTACTACTGCTACTACTGCTACTACTGCTACTACTGCTACTACTACTACTACTACTACTACTACCACTACTACCACTGCTACCACTACTGCCACTACTACCACTACTACCACTGCTACCACTACCACTACCAATACCACTGCCACTGCCACTGTCACAGCCACTACCACCACAACAACAACAACAACAACAACAACTACTACTACTACTACTACTACTACTACTACTACTACTACTACTACTACCGCTACTACTACTACTACTACTACTACTACTACTACTACTACTACTACTACTACGCCTACGCCTACGCCTACGCCTACGCCTACGCCTACGCCTACAACGACGACGACGACGACTACTACTACTACTACGACTATCGTGCTATTAGTCAATAGTATCGTGAGCCGTGAGAATAGTCGCACGAAGCATTGTAGCATTGACAGCTATAGCGGCCCTTGCTGCAGGAGCTCGTCTTCTGTCTTTCCACCTACGACCTACGAGGATTGGATGTTTATGCCTCGGAGCTCATCAGGGGCTGCAAAGCGGCGGACATGGAGGCGGGTCTGCCGCGGCTGTCGTGGCATCGAGCCGCCCTCAGTCCATAGGGTTCACGGAGTGTTCTCAGGTTTTGAATGTGAGTTTTCAGCTCTTTATCTACGATTTTGAGCCCCGCACTGCAGGCTGAACATTGCTGAAAGTGCGAGGCTAGAGGGGTAGCTGTCACCAGTCGCAATTGGATTCCTGATTCCTGAGGCCCTGATTTGATTGGGGCTTAACGGCTCTTTGTCCGGACGCCGACACATCTGAGCAGCATGTCAAATTGCTGAACCCGAAACCTGCAAACTTCAAGTCCGAAGTCAACCTCCTGAACCCCAGTCCTGTTGTCGTAAAGCCTTGGCACGGTCTTTCGGATGTCGGGTGCATAAACCAAACGTAAGCTGAAAAGTCTCGAACCAAACCCCGACTCAGAACTGTCACTGTGGATTCCTTCTTGACACCCCCACTTGAGAAACCCCCACATCCATATCCCGCACCGTCACAGTGCCGAGGCAGATGCCAGCCAGCTGGGAGAGGAGAGTGCGAGGAGGAGCAGAGAAATCCACCTGAATTCGTGGCTCAAGGATGTTCAAGGCACAGGGCTGTTACGGTTCATGGCTTGATATCTGGTTTCCTGGCTTTAAAACCTTAAGAGCACGCGTGCCATTCTCGCTTGCTAAAGGGATCTCTGCTTATGTGTCTGAAGTTCGGGGCTTCTAGGCAGGGAAAAGTTTCGGCCTTCAGGCTACTGAGGTTCTAGTTGCAGTTTCGAGTTTTGTAGGGTAAAACTTGTTAAAGCTTAGGTTTTCCGGACTTGAGGAGGTAAAGTTTAGAGACTGGGGCGCGCAGATCAGGGGCGCATTGTTGATAAACGCAATCGATCCAGGCAGGTGTGCTAGAGCCACAACTCCGAACATGCGGTGTGGGGCTGAAACATGTTGAGACACCCTGTACCCGAAGTCAACCGACAAGAGAGTGGATGAACTCGGAGCCTTATTCACAAAGCACCCCTTTAAGCCTTGATAGTACCACGCCAGACCAAACTCAAAACTGTGGGCCAGGCGGGCCATGCAGACCTCGCCGCATTCCCAGAGTCGACAGTTAAACCTTCCATGGATTTTCTGTGGCGAAGATTTTGGCCGTCCCTCGCTCTCGGTGTCGGAGCTTTTGAGCTATGCGAACTGATTTTTGTCCGTGATCCTTAAACGCGCTTCATTTGTCTAAGGTGGCGAGGAATTCTGCAGTTTGTGTCTGGGGCTGGAACATTGTGATATGAAGCAGCGACGGATGCCGACATGACAGTCTTGCACGAATTGGGTCTGCCTTGCCCGGCCAGCCCAAGCCCCTGGACGACTCAAGTCCTCAAGACCACAGCCATGGCCCAAAGCATTCCAAAATGCTCATAAGTCTCAAGATTCGTGGCAGATTTCCTTACGCTCGTCTTCCATCAGCTTGAAGCTCACCAAAAGCGCCAAAATCCCCCCCGAATTTTGATGCGTCACAAGGAACTTCCAAGGCCAGCTCCCTTAAGAAAATCTCAAGGACTCTAGGACCCAGGGGCAACTTTCCCTTCCCAAAATTGCGTAAGTCTCGAAGCGAAGGACCCGACCTGCCCATGCACAGACTGGACGCCTGAACGGTGCACTGGGCTGTGAGGCCCCGACATCCGGGCTTCGCGTCAGCATAGCCTGGAGTGTCAAGCCTCAGATTCAACCGAGCTGAAAGTCTTCGAGTCGGGTTTCGGGACGAAGTTTACCAACCCAGGCATCCGCTGGACCTCCCATTGGAGCGAATCTCCGGTTAACAAAAACTCTCCCTTCAAGTGGTACGGCTACATGAGTTTCAGGTCTGCGACGGAATGAGTCTGGGGCTCGTAGGACATCGATAATTGAGAGGTAGCAACAATGAAACTAGCCACATGAGTGATGCTGATGCTACATGATGCTGCATTGCAGAGTTAGATAATCTTCAACGTGCTCAAGTTTACGGGATTGGCAATGACTTCATGAAGAATGCGCACCAGCGTGTCACTGCTACAACATGTTGTCTGGTGAATTTAGGGGCGCCTTCTTCAGGATTCTTCAGATTAGTCTCCGATTAGTCTCCTGATGGTGAGGGTTCTAGGTTGGGGTCCCCAGTTTTCTGAAGCCCCAACCATTTGTGCATGAGAACGGGCGCGAGAACGTGGCAGCACAGACAGAATGGCCGAGATGCAGCTGCGACAAACCCGGAAGCCCCTCAGGCATGATCTGCAACACCAAACTGGTTTATCGAATCTCAGGAAAACCCCGCAACTGAAAGAGCTCGTGAAGTGGACACTAGTATGTGCAGGCTACAAACATGCACCCTGGTCATCGCCTCCGCATCTGTGCCTGAAGACAAGCTGCCCAAGTGTCCCTTGCAACATCTGCGCGGAAACAACCAGACTAACATGACATGATTCGACATGCAGGATGCCTGCGTCTTGGAAATTCAGCAGCCTCCATGCAAGACCCATGATCTGCATACTGTATTCATGATGCAACACACATTCTGCATTGAAGCTGGATATCTAAACTAAGGAATTGAAGACAAACACAGTTCGTTCGTGCATCGATTCGCCCCTAGGGCCCTAGAGATGGAAGCTTCCCAGTGCTTGAGGGTGTATCTTTACATCCCCACTTCCGATTCTCCTATGGGCCCCGCCACAAAAGCCCCTAACCCTTACGGCAAGCTCTTAAAACTTCTCGAACCCATGCGAGGCTTCGGCATTTGCACTCCGCGCACACGCGGTCGCTACATCGCACATTGCCAGGTGTTGTTTTTGCTGGGGTCTTAGGCCTTGCGTGGTTCTATGGAGGGCTTGGGAAACTCGGGGTCAAGCTTGGATTCATAGGTAGAACTCTCGGATAGGGCCGGCTATGTCCACGCACCTACACTATATCCTGTATCCGTGGATGCAGAAGTTCCTTCTTGCTGGTTGATTCGAGCAGCAATGCTATGCAGCCGTATACCATCCCCACGGGCAAGATTGGATATGAAGATTCGTACTTGCAGCTTTATCAGCATTGCGAGACAGAGAGTGCTGGAAGGTCCGGGTCTGTCTATGGTTGCTTTTTAATTACGCTTTGAAGTGCTTCCGAAGCAGAAAGAGACCAGCAGTTTGCAGGCAGGATCTGCAGGGGAATGCACACGGTGTCCATACAGTCTGTGTGTGTGTGTGCGCCTACATCTTTGCTCTTGCAAAAATATCATGTATGCACGGACTACAGAACAGTTTGTCGAGCAAGTTCAGCCCACATGATCGTGCAGCATCGCTTTCAGGTGTCTCATGACTACGCTGCCGATGTGCGATTCTACGTGCTACGATGTCAACTGTCGGCTCGCACCATCGGAAATTTCTGAAATACAATACAACGAGTTCAGGATTGTTGAGGGCATATCAGTACCTGTACCCGACAGCAAAATCAAGTCAAGCAGAACCTGCCTGGTGGCTCAGCGTCTGCGCAGCCAGGTCAGTGCTAGCTGGCAGCGACAGGACAGATTGAAAAACAGCAGGACGCGCGGAGCCAATCTCCAACAGGGAGTGAAGCCGTGGACTTCAGGTGGGAAATTGAAGCGCTGCGACTTGGACTCCCACCGTCCGGTCGTACTTTCGTGGATGTCTGGGCGTGCGAAAACGAGAACCCAAAACCTGAAGCCTCGGAACTCGGAACCCTCAAACCCTGCAGCAGGAATGCTCCTGCAAAGATTACCCCTTCAATGGAAACAGTAAAACTCCAAGCCCGGAAACCCTTGCATCTCAAGTTCGGACTGTCGTCTACATGTCTCACGAACAGACCATCGACATCTGAAGCATTCTGGAGCTTGTTTTCGGGCTCAGAGCTTTTTCCTGAGGATTTTCGAAAGTTTCGGGTTCCGATGGTGGTCGTTTCCTGAGCTGCGCAGGATCTCAGGCGTTTCAATTTCCATGTTAGAAGCCACTGCGGGAATTGATTATTGCGCTGTTCCTCCCCAGGCTATGCAACACTCCAGAAGCGTGTAAGGCCGGCACAATCATACCATAACCATGTGGAACCTTACGTCCTCAACAACGTACAGCCCCAATGAGTCCCTGAATCCGGAAAAATCCTGCAGCCCTGAACTCTGAGACTCAAAAGGCGTGAAGGAAAGCCCGCCAAAACCTCGAGACCCGAAAGCGGGCTGCTCAAATTACACAACGAAAGCACACTGAAGTACCACTAAGCATGAGCTTGCGAAAACCAGAGCACTTACAGACTTACAGCCTTCCGGAGCCCCCTTCACCACGCCGGCTGGACGAAGTGTGCTGGGCGTCATTCCGAAGTAAGGCCTCTGCATGCGTCACAGACGGACTTTATATAGGAGTGATTAGGGTTGGGAGGGATTTTCGAAGGCGTTCAAGCATTGTGGCTTCGGTTTCCGGTTGTCGAGGGGGGATTTCCGGGTTTCGGGTTGACAAGACTAGGAGTCGTGAATCGCATCGGCGTGTCAATCGGAATTCTTATCACCGTCGATATCCGCAATGTCGCATAACTGCGAGTGCTGATGTATGATTGCAGAAGCTGTCGTAGCAGCCATCGTCGCAGTCGTTGTCGTCGTCCTCCTCTGTATGCACGGATTTCCCAGATTTACTGCGTGTGCTTCCAAAGCTGCAGTACGGTTCGAGACGGACCTGCTTGAAGCCCTGCACCCAGTAAGCACAATGAAAGAGCGTTCATGCTTAGATGTTTAGTCTTAGTGTCCCTGGCCTAGCGAGCCAGCCAGCCATCCGAACAGACAGCCATACATACGAGCATAAATACATACATACATACATACATACATACATACACAAATACATAGTCACATACGTCCGTCCATCCAGCCATACATACATGCATGCTTACATAAATGCTTACATACATGCGTACATTCATACGCACATACATACACACATACATACACATACATACATACATACATACATACATACATGGCTGACAGCACGAGTATGCCCAGAATGACGTTGTTCTCAACGTGCATTGACAAACTCCCTACCAAGTGCTTATCTATGCTCACCCAAGTCGCCAAAGCCATCATAGTTTAACAAGCCAAGCCCTGCTTCATGTCATCCATCAACATTCCTCAGTGAATGCGGTCCGGGCCGCATGGAACTTGTTGGGCTGTAGCCGGCACCCGCTGCGGCCTGTGGATTGATTCGCTCGGTGATTTTGGGGCTTAGCGAGCTGGAGGGCTCAAGCTACTTGCACTGGGATTCGGGACACTGCGAGATCAGGTAGGGCGCTAGTCTTTAGAGCTTGGCATGATACTGCCGCAGCTTGCGCGGAGTTCTGCGGGAGGTGGCTGCTCTTCTTTCCAGAACAGGCCCGAGACGTCTGTGCTTCAGCCCCAGCCTTCAAATTACCGGAACGTTAATTTAATGGTAGGTGGATATCGGTTCATGTTGGTGCCCGAGTCAGGCGCCTCAAACGAGCACGAAAAAGGCAGTGTACGGAAGTCTTCCTCTACGGCCTAGCAGCCACTCTCAACCCAGCAAGCACTTACCTCAATCTGGGACCCCGACGGCCCTGGGGCTGTAGTCCAGCGGAAGCTCGGGCTGCACAGCAAAATTGGACTTACGTCACATCCGCGGAACCATGTTGCTTGAATAACACTGATAGTAAACGGTTCATGTAAGGTTCGATTTCCATTGAAGGTGTTCGACTTTGCGCTTGTTCGGCTGAGGATTGTGGGAGGCTGGGGTTGTTTGGAAGATTACATCCTGAAGGTTTCACGGATTTGGCTAAGAGTATTTCGGTCGTTCCGCGCTTTAGAATTGCGGAATTGCGGGTGCAAACCTGGCAGGTATTTTCACGTGCACAGCTCCCTGGTTATAGTACATAGTGAACATAGTGCGACGAATCCTAGCTGCCGCAACTGCATGCATTAAACTCCACAGAGTTATCTAGAGCTGCCCACCCACTGGCTTCGGTGTTTAGGCTCGTTTCCTCCCACCATGAACACGGTAGATGACAGCCAACGGGATGAATATATATTCTTCACCAGATGGCTCTGCTCAATAAATGCTGCCGGATTCCTGATGGAAC